AGGTTGCTCTCTGCTACATGCCACTCTGCCTTGGAGCCAGCTGAGTATGAGCTGAAACCTCCACTGTGAGCTAAATAAACCTTTCCTTCCTTCATTTTGGGTGTTGGGTATTTGTCCCAGCAATGAGAAGAGCAACTGAGACATACACTCTGCCTTAGTTCCAGAGAGGCTGGGGCAATGGTCCCAGCCTCATCAGCAGCCTGTCTTTGGGACCGTCTGAGTGGTCTAGGCCCTCCCTGGCCTGGCTGTGTACCTAGGCTTCACACCCCATGGCTCTGGCCAGGCCAGTCTGCTTTCTTACAGTTTCATCCTTACCCCTGTCTCCTTCCTCCCCTCCATCTGCCTCATCCAACTCACGCTGCCTGCTCCAACTTCTCCATGAGGCTTCTCCATTTGCCAGATACTTAGAGTCCACATCACCCACCATCAGGCCAGCACCACCACTTGGTCTCACCAGTTCCCTCCTCATGTGGTTTTCTCCCAGTTCCAAGCGCAGGCACCCCAGTGGTGCCCATGCTAACATGTACTGAAAGCTAAAACATCCTGAATGCCACCATCTTTGATGGGCCCCAGGGGCAGAGCTTCGGACAGTGACACTCCTGGGGCCTGTCCTGGGGCGAGCCAGCTACACTCACAGTGCAGCTGAGGGCATGAGGTGCAGTGGGACCCAGCAGGATGGGCCTCCGGAAACCAGACTTAGTCTTTTTGGGGGGTACAGGGAATCAAACTCAGGACCTCATGCTTGCCAGGCACGCGCTGTGCTGCTGAGCTACATCCCTGGCCCCAGACTTAAGTCTGGGCTTCTCTGGCGTCCCTGGCTTTGTCTGATGCCCCTGTGGCGTGCCGTAAAGGAAGTCCAGCCCGCAATTCTCCAGCGTCATGCAGCAGTGCACTTTCCAGGGGTTTTGTTCTCTCCTGCGAGATTTCAGGCTCAGAGGACAAAGACTGAGTCTTCCACCTCTGTTCTTTCACAGGTGCTCACTCTGTGTTGACTAACATCCTGGCCTCCAGCCATCCTCAACCTCATCCTCTTTCTCAACAGTGACACCTAAGAGCCTGAGGCAGTGGGCAGGAAGCTCACCGAGCTGAATGCCACTGCAGCAGCCTGCACCTCACTGTGCTCCTTCCAACAGGACCATGCCCAGCAAGCAGGCGGCAGAGCCAGGAAAGGGGCTCTACAACCCAGACATCCCGAGTGGAAAGCTCCAGGCTGCCAGGGACAAGAAGTTCAGAAAGTGCATGCTGCGATGAGAAAGGACGCAGCAGCAGCTCTGGGCAGTGGGTGTGAGGAGTTTCGTGGGAGTTTCACTTGTGTTGTTTCCTTTACTATTTGAATTTTCATTACATGCATCAATATTTTCATCAAACGTTACTCTTAAAAAACACATACTTTCTAAAAGGAAAATAAAAATCTACCTTCAAAGCAGGCCCCCTGCCCTGCTTCAGAGCAAAAACTGCCAGCTCCCTGAGTGTCACCATCTTCACGGGGCGTTGGTGAAAGCTCACCAGGGACGCTCAGGCCTGGCCACTCAGGGTGTAGCCAGCGGCCCTCGGCGCAGCAGGATCCTCCAGACAGAGCTCAAGGAAGGCGAGGTCTCCTTACATTCTTTCTTGTGGTACCAAGGATCAAACTTGGGACCTTGCACTTGTCAGGCAGGCGCTCATGCCACTGGGCTACATCCCCAGACTATTCCTTACATTTCTTTGGGAATCAGTTTTCTGGGCTAAAATAAAGGGATCAGGCTAGATGTTCAAATATATACATATTTTCTTATTTTTTTTTTAAACCCTTGTATCAAGGACTTTCAATAGAGTTCCAAGAGGGAGCTGCTCTGCTATGTGTTCAAATCCCCCCCCCCAAAATTTGGATCTTATTTACCATGATTTAGATGATAAAAAAATATTTCTGCATCGGCTTTGGAAAGCAGCTAATATCCCCTTCCAACCAATCCCTGAACTCCAGAGCCCTGCGCTACCCTCCCAGCACTCCACGGAACCATGACTATGTTCCATCTCTCCTCTTGCCTTGTTTTCCACAGTGAAGAAATAACATTCCAGTGGACGGGAGTCCAGTTCATTGAGGCTTTACTGTAGGGTGCCACGCTGGAAACCCTCCAGCTCGGTGAACATGCAGTCTGTAATCTGGATTACCCTTTATTTAATTTCAGGAATTCCCTTTGCACGGCAAAAAAAAAAAGGGGGGGTCTGAGCAAAGAGGAGCAGCGCTGATGAGCACGAGGGCAGAAGCAGGACACTCAGATGTGGTGCCACCAGTCACGGTGCAACCACAGACACTGCCACGTGGGCTGGCCACCTGCTGCACTCCTGAGCTGGGAGAGAAGCAGAATCCATGGGAAGAGCAGGAAAAGCCATTTTTGACACAAACAAGGGGCCTGGGGCATGCCACCCCACCCCAGAGCCTGGCCATGCAAGACGCTGAAATGGAAACTGTGTGGCCCCTGGGGCCGCAATGCCAGCCACAGAGCAGTGCACCAACAAGAAAGGGAGTCCTTTGGGCGCTTCCCAAGGCGCCTGCGGGGGCAGAAGATTGTGGGGTCTGTGTCCATGTCCACACATCGTGAACAGATAGCACCAAGTGGGAGAGTCAGAGCAGGACAGAGACTGGGGCTCAGACTCTAGCACCCACCTGCCCGGCTCTCCAGGGCAGACTAATTCCTTGATGGCTCTTTGGACCCCGAGCACCGCTGCCTCTGGAGGGCAGAGCCCCGTTGTGCAGTGAAAAGCTGCCCTGCACCAGGTTGAGGGGCCAGGAGGTGGAGGGCAGGCCTGAGGACAGGGCACTACTACCCAGGCACCTGCCTGGGCACTTCCGTAGCCAGTCTGTTCCCTGTTCGCAGCAAGCCCAGGAATTGGCCCCTGATGTTCTGATTTGAGAGACTTGTGGTTGAGGGATGATGGCAAGAGAGAGGAGCGAGACCAGGAAGGCCAGTCCCCGGAGGACGGAGGTAGGCAGTGTGTGCCGCGGGGACCTCACTACGCCCTTCTGGGGCGGTGGTGGGAACCCAGCCTCCCTGCGTCTCTCTCCTCAGTTACCACGGCAGGAAAACCCTTCCACACCTCTCTCAGAGGGATAGGCTAAGGGTGAAAACTGATAACGGACAGAAAACACTTCTTAAAAAGTATAAAGCGCCACTGAAGCGCGAGGCAGTGTCATCCTGGCAAGGACAAGACCCTCGTGCACCCCATTCATTGCACCTTCACTCCCCTCTCCAGGGCGCCCCCTGTTCGCCCTTGGGGTCAGACTTGCTTATTTTAGGCGGGTGTCAACACTCCCGGTTGCTTCCCTCCCCCAGCACATCTGCAGCCCCGCCCCCGCTGTCCCTCTGGCGCTCGCATCTAACAGATGCGCTGGGCTGTGCGTTCAGGCTGGGCAGGTCTGGGATATCTGCGCCCAGCCTTCCTTGGGGACCCTGTCTGGAGTGCAATCCCAGCGGGTGGCGGCGGGCAGAGGGCGGGGAGGCGCCTGGGGCCCTCGCCGCCCCGCCCAGCCCTAGTCCCGCTCCGGCGGAGCCCGCAGCGGCCGCGGGGGCGCACCGAGACCCGGGCCCGCACCATGCACGCGCAGATGGTCCTTGAGCGACTCCTTGTAGCGGAAGCTCTTGCCGCACTCGCCGCACGTGTAGGGCCGCTCGCCCGTGTGGATGCGCTGGTGCTTGAGTAGGTTCTGCTTGCGGATGAAGCTCTTGCCGCACAGCGCGCACTGGAAAGGCCGCTCGCCCGTGTGCAGCCGCTGATGGTTCTGAAGGTGCTCCTTGCGGCTGTAGGTCTTCTCGCACTCCGAGCACTTGTAGGGCCGCTCGCCGCGGTGCGTCATCTGGTGGCGGATGAGCCCCGAGTGGCAGTTGAAGCTCTTCTCGCACTCGGCGCACTCATAGGGCCGCTCCTTGGTATGGCTGCGGTGATGGATGATGAGGCTCTTGCGCACCCCGAAGCTCTTGCCGCACTCCGGGCATGAATAGGGCTTGCTGCGCGCGCTGCCACCATGCGCCAGGAGGCTCCGCCGCAGGCCACCTGGGCAGCAGCTGCCGCAGCCGCCACCAGCCCCAGGACCCCCGCTGGGGCCGCTGCCGTCCGCGCCACCCTCTACGCCCGCCTGTGCCTCGCCCGCGCCGCGCTCCCCAGGCAGCACCCCGAAGCTGTCGTCCAGCAGCACGCGGCCTGCGGGGCCACTGGGGGTCTCGGGCCCCGCCAGCATGGGCAGATTCTGTGAGTGCGGCTGCGGCTGGGGCTGTGGCTGGGCTGGGGCCGGGTTCTTCACCAGCATCAGGCTGTCACCTGGAGGACACAAAGTGACATGCTAACCAGATTTGCTCCAGGTCTACGTTATCTGGGCAAGGGGCCTAGGTCACAGGCTCTTTGGACCTCGGTTTCTCTAAAAACGAGGGGACAGGACAGGTGACAGTTGGCCATCTGCAATGCCCCCAGCCTGTCAAAGCCATTGTAGCGGGAAGCACCAGAAGCAGCCACGTGGGTACCAAGGGAAAGACAGGAAACTGGAGCCCTGAGAGAAGTAAGGGACTGCTACCAGAAGTGTCCTTGGAGGGAGGCGACAACAAGACTGTAGCCTGACAAATGCAAGTCTGTCCTGAGATTCTCTAGCAGGAGGGAAATAATTTGCCCAAAGCAAAAACTCATCTGGAGGCCTCCAGGAACCAGAGGCAGAGCGCTGGGTCAGGAACCCGGGCTGGGTGGCTGGGCAGTCTAATGGCTGCTGGCCCGTCCACCTCTGCGTACCTTTGCTGCTGCCCTCCACGTGCTCCCCTCCCCATCCCATGTCCACTGCTAACGCAGATCGGGCCCAGCCTTCCCCTCTGCCCCAGCCAAAAGCGGCCGGACAGACGAGTATCTCCGTGGGACACTGGCCAAGGACGGAGGCCAAAACAATTGTCCTGTCCTTGATGGGGATTCCCTGGAAGGGCTGCCCTCCTACACTGCCCTGGCCTGGCCTCTGGCCTCTTTGTCTGACCTAACTTGGCTCTCACTTCCAGCACCACAAGCGCTTGCTGGCAAGCACCCCTTGCTTTGTTCTCCAGCCCAGACTGCTTGGAGAACCCCAATCCTGCAATTGCACCCGAGCACCTGGGGTCACTGCAGAAAACTGCATCACTGTATGTCTTGTGTGTGCGTGGGGGGGGGGAGGGGTCCTTTGGGCCTGACTCTCATCTCCAGTGGGTTCCACTTTTCCTCTGTGGCATGTCACACCTCCTACTCCACCCCTGTCCCCCTTAGGAGTGACCACGAGGCTTCTCCTTCCCAATTACTGCTGGTGACTGATTCACAAATAAGCCTGAAATAGAGTCCTAACCATCAGGGAGTGAGAAGTCTGCTGGGAGATTCTAGAACATTCCTCCCACCCCTTGCAGTGTGTGGGAAGAGATGGACTTTCTTTTTCCCACTGGATCTGGAGGTGGTTTCTTGGGACAGCTGGAACCTATGGACTAGCAGCCCAAGGAAGGTGGTACCCAGGGATGAGAGGCCGAGTCACAAAGAACCTGGTTCCTGGAAAACATGGCTGAGGCTCTGACTCAAGATAGCCAAAAACGACCTCTGGACTTCTGGTTATACAAGAGAATGTATTTCTTTCTTCTCTAAAACAGTTCTAATGCAGCTGAGAGCAATGGTCTCATCCCACAACCTAAAAGAACAATGCCCTAGACTCTACACACTATCTACCTATCTACCATCTCATCTGTCTGATCCTGGGTGTGTGTGTGTGTGTGTGTGTGTGTGTGTGTGTGAGAGAGAGAGAGAGAGAGAGAGAGAGAGAGAGAGAGAGAGAGAGAGAAGCGGGTCAGGGAGACGGGGTCTTGCTGTGTAGCCCAGGCTGAACTTGAACTTATGATGATTTTCCTGCCTGAATGACCTTAATCCTTGGACTACACTGTCCCTAGAATTTCCAAGTCCCTAGTCTTAAAACAACCTATGTGTAGTAGTGAGGCTGCCTCTGTCCCTGATTCCTGAAACACAGCCTGAATCCTTGGAACTTCCTGAGTTACAGGTGCCTGTGGTGCCCATGGTGTGCCTTGACAGGCCATCTCAGAAGGGAACTCCTGGCAGGCCCTTAGAGGGTGACACTAGTAAGATCATTCAGGATGGGCCCCGGCCAGGTCAAAAAGGCTTGACTGCATGATGACAGGCTGAGACTTGCATGCAAAGGGAGGCGAGGTGGCCAGAGACTAAGCTGAGCGTCCGGGGCAGCGACAGTCACACATCAGTGTGCTGAAAGCAAGGCCGGCGAATCCTGACTCCACGGAAAGGACAAGGGAAGTTGGGTGCTAAGGACCGCCCAGACCTAGCCTACTGTGTGCTCTTGCGGCTGGCTCTGATTCCAAATCCTTCAGTGACAGTTACACTGAAAATACCAGGGTTCTCAGAGGCTTTCTAGCATTTTTTAACCACATCAGAGAGTAGGAACCCCAGATCTTGTAGCCTGATGGTCAGAAGGGGGGGTATCCTCAGCCCGTAAAGTGTGACCAACCCCAGGTATTGAACCAACTCGCTGCACCTACAACTCCCTCATCAGCCTCGCTTGAGCTCACCCTTGAACTTCAGGGTCCTCATCAACCTGACACTGCTCCTTGGCTGTCGCCTCCAAATGTAATAAAGTAGAGCCCTTGGTTTCCCCAACTACCCGCTTGCTTCAGCTTTTCAGCAAATGGCACCTCCATGCACCCATTCTCCTTGGACCCAGAAGACTCCTGCCCAATAGCAGACACCAGCTGTGGCTCCAATGTGGTCTCCAATTTGTCCCTGCTCTCTCCACCCCCTCCACAAGGACACGGAAGTCACTGGCCTCCAAAGTCCTAGTGAGACCTCTCGCTTCAGTTCCGAACTTGGCGCACATGAGCTTCGGGTGACCTGGGTTTCTTACCACTGTCCAAGGGCAGAGATGCCATATACACTTGCTAATATATAAAATCAGAGGCCTTTCTTACTACCGTGCAGCGTGCACCGGGGCTGAAATGCGACTGGGGCCTGCAGTTCCTTCTCTCTTGCATGCCCAGGGCCAGGGCGGGGCTGGGGGGCCAGCTGCAAGCCCCCTGCATGGCTCCAGTTCGGCCCCCTCGCCCCTTCTGGCCCCTTCTGGCCGTCCCTGATGACCACTGCACTAGGTTGCTTTTAAACCTCAAGGAAACTGCCGAGGAGATGTGGAGAGCCCTTCCCAGTCCCTGTCACACCCAGGAAGTGTATATTTGTGATCCCAGGAAAAGTTATTGGAATTGTAGCGAGTTCATTCCAATCTACCACTTCCTGTGAAACCCAGGTGAGAATAAAGACACTAAGACGTATCTGTGGCTATGGGGAGCCCAGGGGCCCTCAGTCCAGCCACGGTGATGGCTATCCGCAACGAAGGCCTTGGCCCAGAGCCTAACCTGACCGGCTGGGGTTTTATTCCTTCATGAAGAAGGAAGTGGCTTGAGGATGAGTGACCGTGAGAAAGGCGGGAGGAGGCCTGGACTCACCTGAGATACACAGAGACAAGGGGGTGCAGAACGGGGAGGCTGCAGGCCACAGTAGAGGTACAGCTAAGGTTTGGGGTCTGTGCTTCAGCTCTGCTGTGCAACAGCCTCAGGAAGTCATGGCCTCTCTCTGGAGGCTCAGTCCTGGTGACAGCCTGGAGCACTGGCTTTTGCCCCTACCTGGTCCCTGCTCACACAGGGGAACAAGTGGGGGATGGGGTGGGGGAGGGTCTGGGGAAACACCTGCCATCCTCCAAGACTGCTGCAGCTCCTTGCCTGGACCAATACGTGTTGCTTAAAGCCAACAGGAGAGATGAGGACAGGTCCCAGTCATCTCTGCGACATCATACATGGAAATAGGGCCAGGCTCAGTCAAAACGGAGACCACTGCTCCTCCTTCTAGGAGTCACCTGGGGGGTCCTCCACAAGATGTTTGGTAAAGCGCAAAGGAAACACCCGTGAGACACTACTTTCCAATCCCAACATTACAAACAGGAGGCAGAAAGAGGTTCTGATGGTGACCACAGGGGGAGGCTTTTCGGATGCATCTGTCTGCCCAGTTCTGGGCATCTCCTCCCAATTGCTAGGGCTCCCCCGCCTCCCTGAGACAAAACAGCAAGGGACAAACTAGCCTACAGGTCTCACATCCGGAGGGAAGGAGGAAATGGTCTCGTCCTTTGCAAGCCTGGAGTGTTCCCATGAGGCCTTCTTGGATCGGTCCCCGCATGCAGGGTCCCAGGGAAGGCCCTCTTCTCGCTTCCACGCTGCTGGAAGCCTTGGACGAACTAGAAGGTGGCACTGGACAGGGCTGGCAGTGCCCAAAGGGCTGCTCCTGCACCTTCCCCCCACAGGCCAGAGCTAGAAACAACGGCCAAGGCCCTTTCCTCCAGCGCTCAACACAGTCTCCCCCACACCAACAGGTGACATGAGGAATCACCAGATGCCATGCGGTCTTGAGGGACTGTCCCTAGATGGAGGTAGACCAAGGCAAACCACCCTCCTCCAGGCCGCCACTGCCGTAGGGCCCTGGGGGGCGCTGTACTCACTGGGGCCGGAGTCCAGGCCCAGCTCTCCCTCCACTGAGTCGCGTGGGCCCCACGGGTACGGCTGCTCCTCCTGCTTGATCCAGGACAAAATGTCATGTGCCGAGAGGAGAGACTCTGTCGTGGGGAGGAGGGTGCGCTTAGACATCATGCATTTTCACCAGCAGCCCCTGCGAGGCCCCAGCCCCAGGCGGGGGGGCAGCTTGGGCATTTGGGGGGGTGGTAACTTTTTTTGAGACAGGGGCTCACTATGTAATTCAGGCTGACATCAAACTCGAGGTGATCCGCCTGCCTCAGCCTCCTGCATGTACCACAACACCTAGCTTACACAAAAGCTGCTCTGGAGGCATCTAACTAGTATTCACCCAAAGAAATTCCAGACCCAGAATATATAAATTACTTTCTCTTGGAAGATGAAATAGATATAGCTTTTCTGAAGCTTTTGGTTGTTCTGTTTAAAAATCAGCACTGAGGTAACCGTAGGGTCAGCTCCAGGGACACACAAAGGTTGGTGGAGCGGCTCCTCTGGCCCGGGTGCTCCCGCGTGCCTTTCTCACCTGAATTGGGGTCCGTGGGAATGTCTCGCTCTGCCAAGTCCTGCTGGTCCCACACACACTGTGGCTCCTCCTGCTTAATCCGGGACAGGAGGTCCTGGGCAGAGATGGGGGAGTCTACTTGGGGGATAGAACAGCATGGGGTTAGAGGAGGCGAGGGTGTGGCCAGCTTGGGCTCTGCGCAAAGCTTTGTCAGTTTTTTGTTTTGGTTTGTTTTTTGGAGAAAGGGTCTCGCTATGTAGCCCAGGCTGGCCTTAAGCTTATGGCGATCCTCCTGCCTCGGCCTCCCAAATGCTGGATCACAGGTGCGCACCACTGTGTCTGGCCTAAAGAAATCTTCAATTTCACATTATTATCCATTTCCCCTAGAAGTCAGTCACAGATAATACTAAGCTGCCTTAATGGGTGACAACCAGTGGACACCACAAGGGGGGGGGACAGCAGAGTGACTTTAAGGTACAGAGTGGCTCTGTGCTCCAAGACTTAATCTCTCAGAATGCGGTCCCCACTCTGCACCACAGCCACCATGGAACAGGGATGTCATGTGGCCATTTCCTGGGGACAGAGCACCTTTGGGTTCTTCTCAGTCATGAGAAGGAAAGATAAGGCCCCATACCTCCCTCCACTGTCTATGGCACCTAAGTTACCTTCTCATCTTTAGGGGTCTCAACAGAATAGCCAGGCCAGGCCAAGGCTGTCCCCTCCCCCAGCCTGTGGGTCAGAGGCTTGGCCTAAGGGGGATGCAGTTGGGCCTCAAATGTTCATATACCTTGTGACTGTTGTTCTTCTGCGGTAAGCAGATAGTTGGTCAAACATTATTCTAGACAGTTCCAGCCAGGCATTTTCTAGATGATGTTAACATTTAAGGCCATAGACTACGAAAAAGGCAGATGTCCATAACCTGGACCCAAGCCTCAGGCCTTAATGGTAACAGAGGGGCTTCTCCCAAGGAAGAGGGCATTCCGCCAGCAGGCGGCTCCAGACTGTGGACACCAAGGCCCACCAAGCTCTGAGCCGCCAGGCTGGTCCTCCCAACTTGGGTCTTGTGGCCTCCACAATCATGAGCCAATCAGCTCCTTAAAACAAATCTCTCTCATTCATCTAATTTTATCTAACTTTTATTTTTGTCTTTTGAGACAAAGCCTTGCATGTAGTCCAGGCTGGTCTTGAACTCATTATCTAGCCAGGCCTGACCTTAAATGTACTTCCATCCTGCCTCAACCTACAGGGCCTGTGCCACCACACCTGGTGTGACAGTTTCTTTTATTTTTTTATTTTATTTTATTTTTTTTTTTGAGACAGGGTCTCATGGGGCTGGGGAGATAGCTCAGTAGAATAAGTGCTTGCCTGGCAAGCACAAGGTCCTGAGTTCAATCACCAGTACCTTAAAAAAAAAAGACAGACAGGGTCTCACTATGTAGCCCAGGCTGGCCTCAAACTCAAGGTGATGCTCTTGCCTCAGCCTCCTGAGTGCTGGGAGTACAGGTGGGCACCACCACACCCAGCCACTGGTATGACACTATTTTTATTATTTTTATTTTATTTATTTATTTATTTTTTTTTTTTGTGGTACCAGGGATCGAACTCAGGACCTTGTGCTTGCCAGGCAAGCACTTATTCCACTGAGATATCTCCCTGGCCCCCTGATACTGTTTTTAAAGGAGAGGGAGGGAAAGATCAGAACTAGGACTATGGCAAAGAGAGGGAAACGGACGAGTAAGGCCCAGAGGTGGTCCCAAGCCTCCATAGCACACAGACACCCCTGGGCCATGGCCTAGCTCTGCACCCCTCCTCCTCCACGGCAGCTCCTGGCCTCACTCACCAGTGATGGATTCCGTGGGAAGGGCTCGGTCCTCCAGGCCCCTCTGACCCCGGGTACACAGGACTTCCTCTCGCTTCACCTGGGAGGCGGCATCTTGGGCAGGTGCCAGGGGCTCCGCTCCTGGGGACCGAGAAGCGCACGGTTGAGGGTCCTGTTCCTGCTTCCTGGCCACCAGCACATTCTGGGGTCAGGAGCTCAGGGCAGCAGCTGCCAAGGAGAGGACAGGAGGGCTGTGTTCCTATCGGAGTCAGGGGCCCCAAGGAGCAGAGGCCAGGGAATACGCCCTGCCCTGCCACCAGCTGGACCCTAAATGTATCTATGCTCTGCATAGGAGGGGTTTGTCCTTGCCGGTCACCAGAGGGGCCCGGTCACCAGAGGGGCCAGCACACACAAGTGTGCATCTCCAAGTGCAGAGTTAAGCACAGCCACGGCCTGACATTGGGCAAATCAAGTGCAGCATCCTTGACCCTAAAAGATGCCAGCGCGTTCTTCCTGTGGGCTCCACTCTCCTCTTCTGGATAGCTCACACGCAGTGTGCCAGCTCCCAGCGAAGCTCACTCGGGGCACAGGAGGAGTGAGGCCTGTAGGGGCAAGGGCTGTGTTCCCGGCCTGTGGCCAAAGAGCCCCGAGTCCTTCTGCCTCCATATTTGCCTGGCTTTTTGTCTATAAAATGGGTATAGCAGTCCCTGTTCTTTCCTGTGCCCGGTGATGGCTCGATAATTCGGCAAAATCGTGAGGCTGCAGGGCCTCAGACACAGTAAGATCCCACCGAGCCCGAGGCTTGGTAACCACAGGTGCTGACCTGCAACAGGACGGGAGGTCCAGGACGGTCAAAGCCACAGAGGAAGAACACAGGCTCACATTGCTGGGGACACAGCAAAATGAAGACAGGGGTTCTCATGATGAGAATAATGTAGAATTAAGCTAGGTCTGGTGGTGCACACCTATAATCCCAGTGCTCAGGAGGCTGAGGCAGGGGGATCGTTGAGAGTTTGAAGCCATCCTGTGCTATGTAGTGAGTTCAAGGCCAGCCTGAACTGCATAGCAAGACCTTGTCTCAAATAAACAAACAGACAAAAAGGTTTTCGGAATTAAATAGTGGTGGTGGCATCACAGCTTGGTGAATCAATGAATTATGCACCTTAAAAGAGGCGATGTCATGCTCCATAAATTACATCTCAATAAACGAGTAGGAAGGAGAAAGAATGCTGGAAGTTTCTGAGAAAAAGCCTTCCACGGAACAATAAGGGGGACAGAAGGCAAAGAGGTGAGCATTCACTCAGTCAGGCAGGGGACACACGTGCCAGGCTTGACCTCGTCCAAGGCTGCTCTGACATCTGAGTCCCCAGACAGCTCCAGGGCAGAGCTGGGGTTCCAACCCCAGCAAAAGCTGCCTGAATGTGATGTCCTCGGGCACCAGACTCCTCAGAACTTAGGATCTGGAGGAGGGGGTCTGTGCTGGGGCCAGGGTGAAACTGAAGACTCCACCAGGCCATGCGAGAAGGTACGAGTCACCTCCTCCGTCACCTGCCCAAGCCCGGGGCTTCCCATCCATGTTAGTCCCGGGCACAGTTGCAGCCCAAGCCCTTGCTGTTTCCCGTTCAGCTTGCCTGTGAGATCAGAGCTCCATGGCATTAATAAACCAAACCACTAGGCCGGTGAGATAGCTCCGCTGACCAAGCGCCTGCTTACGTGAGTGCAGGGACCAGGCTTGGATCCCCAGCACCAAATGCCACACTGGCCCGCCCCCCAGGTGCACTGAGAGGCCACTGAGACTGGGCTTAGTGGAACATGCCTACAATCCCAGTGCTGAGGAGGCTGTGGCAGGAGGATCACTACGAGTTGGAGTTGGGGAGTGAGACCCTGTACCAAATGCGTTAATACACACACACCCAATCCATAAATATCCACCGTGAGTTTCAGGCCCCTGCGTACCCCTACGCTGCACTGTGGCAGGACACCTGGAGTGATTCAAGGCTCCTTCCTCTTGCCTGGTCATGCGACCTGGCCCTCTCTCCCTGTGTATTACCCGGCTCTTCTCCCCTGCCCCTGCCAGAACCCCGCCTCCGCCCGCAGCGTCACCTGTGTCTGTGTTCACTGGGACCTGTCTCTCTTCAGGGTGACGCTGCTCCCACACGCAAGGCTCTTCCCTGGGCTCCACCGGGGCTGGCGCATCTGGCTTGGCCACAGGGCCCTCTGCATCTGCGAGTGAGAAGGGGTGGAGGAAGGTCAAGATCGCTCCCCACCTCCCATCACCTCCAGAGACTGCCGACAGTGCCCTGAAGTCTTGTCAACAGGTTCCCTGGGGAAGGAGCCATGCTGTCTGGCTTTGCTCAGAGGCTGGGATGCATAGTGGAGAGGTACAAATGTGCTATTTTGCTATATTCAACCACAGGCATGGGGGTGCATGCCTGTAATCCCAGCACTGAGAAGCTGAGGCAGGAGGATCGCTTACAATGCCCAGCATTATAAACTGTTTCATCTTATAGCACCAAAATGAAACAGTTTCTTTCCATTAGGTTAATACTATCTCATGCCCTCTTGCCCCAGGGAGAGGGGAGGTGACCTTACCCAGGGACATCAGGGTTTTGTAGTTCTCCTTTACAAGGTTGTTGTAAAGCTCCTTCTGCCATTCATCCAGGTTCTTCCACTCGTCCTCAGAGAAGTAGACGGCAATGTCCACAAAAGTCACCGGAACCTGGGCAAACGACAGTCTAAATCTCAGCCCTCTGCTGCTTCTTCGCTCTCTTTTTTTTTATTGTTGTTGTTTTGAGACAGGGTCTCACTAGTAGTTCAGGCTGACACTCACTATGCAGCCCAGGCTGGCCTTGAAATCCCAGCGACCCTCCTGCCTCAGCCTCCTAGTGCTGGGATCACAGGTGTGTGCCACCATGCCCAGTTTGTCACCCCTCTTTGCTGTGAGCCATCAGGCCAGCCCACCTGGACCCAGCCTTTGCCTACTCCTCAGCCTCAAGTCCCAGCGCACAAGAATCCACTTCCAAGAGGTCAGAATCTCCAGCCTGCATGGCTCGCTCATCTGGTGACAATGATGATCAATGCTAATGCTGTCCCCACGCACCCCGAGCACGCGACTACAATCTTTTCTATGTCACTCCGAGGTCACCTGAGTATCTAAGGCAAAGCTGCGGTCAGTGTGCTTCCTCAGGTGTGGGTGGGTCTCAGGGTGGGGATCACCGAGTAAATCCCTGGGACAAAACCTGTATTTCAGGTCAGGTCACCTCTGTGCGCACAGTTACGTTTTTGTTGCAGGCGCAACCCAAGGGCAGTGGTGAAAGCTCCGTTGGAGCACCTCAAAGGAAAGTTCCAGGGTTGGAAGCCAGGGAGACGGCTCAGTAGAATAAGCGCTTCCCTGGCAAGCACAAGGGTCTGAGTTCAATCCCGGGTTCTGCCAAAAGAAAAAAAAAGGAAAGTTTCAGGGTAGCCTGAGTCATCACCTAAAGCCGGTCAGCCGGCAGCAGGTGCTCCGCTCTCTGCCCCGAGTTTGCTTCAGCCCGACCCTCAGCTTCGGCTACACTCATTTCAGTGTTCACTAGCAGAGACCGCACGTGGGGCCAAACCGGGCAGAAGGGTTTCACTCTCATGACCTCCGCTGATGCGCTTCCCTCTGCGACCACACTGGCTTCCCCCTGCTATTTTCACATCCCTGGAGAAGCAGCCCACTGGCTCAGAAAGCCAGCCCCCTCCCCGGTCCCCGGCCCTTCCTCTCCATATCTGCCTTAGCTAGATGTATCTTGGAGGTGTGATCAGCACATTTGGTCAACGTTTAAAGTTTAAAAAAAAATTATTATAGTAAAAGACACTGCAAGCTGGGGAGCTAGCTCAGTAGAATAAGTGCTTGCCTGGCGAGCACAAGGGTCTGAGTTCAATCCCCGGTTGGGGGGGGGGGCACTGCCATGAACTGTCCTCGGATCCTCTGCCCCACTTAACACATATTTATCCCGTCACTCTTGCCACTTTCTGGAGCACTTCTGGAAGTCCTCTTTCATGAGGCTCTTCATGAGCTGTGACCAAGTACAGCGAATGCGGCCACCGAGCGCCACCCAACAGAAAGGCAGGCTCGTAAAAGCAAGGCAGCGCGTCCTCCCCCGCCGGATTCACCGGCTCTGGCACCCTCAACTTCTGGCTTTCCCACCAAAATCCAAATGACTGCGACAGGTACGCATTTTGAAACGATTCGGGACATCGAGGCAGCTGTGACAGCACAACTAAAGACGCTCATGAAGGACTTCCAGAGCTGCTGCAGGACGTGGCAGGACCGGTGGGATGCGTGTGTTCGAAGTGAGCAGAAGGGTTCTGGGGGGATTCATGGCAATGTGCTTTTATTCTAAAATTTTTTGAAAATGTAAACACACAACATCTATCTCCGTCATACCGAGTAACTCCAGGCGCTCCCGGCAGATGAGCCGCGTAAGCCCGAGCGCAGCGCAGTGGCCGGGTCCAGCGGGCCAGCAGCACCTCCCTGCTCCCAGAATTACAGCTAGAACGCCCGCCTCGCCGGACGCCCCAGCCGGCTTGGGCAAAATCCAGCCTGCGCGAACAGACACCCCCCCCCCACCCCCCATTCATTTTACTTCACCGCTGCGAGATCGAGCCCTGCGCTCTTCTTGCCCGCCGGCCATGAGCGCGCACCGCTCACCTCCTGCGGCCGACCCGGAAGCCGCCAGCTGGCCTCTGGCGGGCACCACGCTGGGCCCCACGCCCACCTTCCTGAGCCTTCTCCGTCCCAGGTGCAGGTTGGCAGGCGCCTCTGTTGCCCTTTCCATCTTGCCAACCCAAACTTGCCAGTCTGTGCCCTTCAGTTCCCCTCCACCTCCCCTCCTCGGGCGTTAATCCAAACAACCTTTTCTCTTCTCCATCTTCAGTTTCTCCTCTGTCTTTGCAGGATCATCCCAAACTAACGAAAGGCCTCCCTCAGCTCCGCGACCTCAAGTCAGCACTCTGGCTCTTCACTGGGGCAACAGGAGAGACATCCTGTCCTCTCTCCCACACAAACTTTAACCCCCTGATATGTCTCAAAATTTGTACCTGCTACGCTCTCAAGCCACACTCTGGACATTCTCTCTCAGACCTCCTTGAGAGGACTTTCTAGAATTTTCTAGAATTTCTTCCTGCCTGGCTCCCATAACTACGTCACATGCAGTTCAGCTGGCTCACATCTTCTCTACTGTTGCCTCTTCTCCCAAATCCAAGGGTCTGTCCTTGTCCCTCCTCCCCCTTCCTCACTTTTCCCTTGACAGCGTCTTTCTTTTCGCCGTGACTGTTACCTCTTTGTGAGGACCCTCTTCAACTTACCTTGCTCCCTTCAAAGTTCAACAGCCTTCGTCCACTCAAATGCCTTCAAGTACCACAAATTAGGTGTCCCCAAGGCTACATTCATTCTCCTCCAACATACTGGACTCTCTGCCTCAACCACCACTTACTGGAGAATTGAAACTTTAGAACCATGTCCTCCAGGTTAGAAACAGACACTGCTTTTTAAAAGCTGCCCTGTGACAAGATCCAGCAGACCCTGAGCCTGCGGGAGCCTGCAGCCCAGCAGGGCAGGCAAGCTGGAGCCAACTAACAGGGCCCAGGCTTGAGACCACCCTTCTCAAGCTCAGCAGATAAAGGGTGGAGTGCATTTTGCACGCCCAAGAGCACACGAATAACTGTGCCCGCTGTGAGCAACACGCACATGTACTAACATTTGCACGGGGTTTTTAAGACACGTCCAAGAAACTCTTCCACCTCGCTGATGGGACTGCAAACTAGTATACCAGCTCTAGAAATCAGTATGGAAATGCTTTCAAAAAACTAAAGCTAGAACTCCACTTCTGCTATCCCCCTTCTAGGAACCTTCCCAAAGGAGTCAAAGACACCACACTAGAGGGATCCACGCATGTCCGTGTCGTGGCAGCACTGCTCAGTGGCTAAATCTTGGCAGCAGTCTCTATGCCCACCAGTGGATGTGTAGGTAAAGAAAATGTACCCACACACTGTGGTGTACTACTCTGTCGTGAAAAAGGATAAACTCAAGTCATCAGTAAGAAAATAAAAGTACCTTGAGGTCATAACGCTAAGTGAAATAAATCAGACACAAACTTAAATATTCCCCATGGTTTCTCTTACATGAGAAACCCAAATTATTAAAAAAGAGCAAAATAGAGGATAGCTGTTAGGAAGTAGGGAGAAAGCTACCTCTCAAATGGGAAGGAGACCAAGACATGGAAGGAAAAGAAAGAGAAAGGAGGGAAAGGGGAAGCAAACAGGCACTAGGATGGGCCGGGCATGCAGACTAACTCTAAAAAGAATACAGCTTCTGTACTGCACATGTGTATGGAAAACATTTAAAAAACATGTCCATGGGGAAAAAAAATACATCCATGGATTCTCTGACTGTCCATTCCAGAAGGCGGAGCCCAGTTCATTCCCTCCTGAGTGTGAGGTACACTTGGTAACTTCCTTCTAGTTGACAAAGGAAGAGTGCACAACTTCTTTTTGGAAAGTAAGGGCTTGAGACAGAGTCCTGCTACGCAGTTCAGGCTGGCTGTGAGCTCACTTTGTGGCCCAGGCTGGCCTTGAACTCGCAGTTCAGATCCTCCTGCCTCAGCCTCCAGAGTACTGAGATTACTGGCCCGCGCCACCACGCCTGAAGAGCCACAGAGACAACAAAAGCCATACGTGACCAAAAGTAGGAAAATCAGGTAGCACAGCCAAAATTCAGACCCAAGTCTGAATTTGGTTGCATCAAAACCCCAGGGCACACGCCCCCCCGGCTAACACCTCACCCCCTCCAGCCGCAGAGCTGCGCAAAGCCAGGAATCCAGCAGCCAGATAACACACGCTGCCCAAGGAGCGCAGAGGGCGGGCGCAAGCAGATGCCGAGTGTGCCGGACGTCACACGCAGACCGGCAGGAAGCGACACCAGGTGACAATTCAACTCGGTGGAGCCTCATTAAGTAAATGTCAGACTGAGAGTGCTCTGCCAGCAAAGCCAGGGTGCTGTTTCCTAGTTGGATAAACGGGAGCCCCTGAGCGCGCCATGACACCGCCAGCTCTTTGAACGCGACCTCAGCCCCAGGTGCGCTATCCACACAAGGCTACAGCAGCGGGCCCAGGAGCGTGCACACACCGGCCAGGGAAAGCCATCACTGAGCTAAGCAGCACACGGTCAGGAAGGCAACGACATAAGCATGGAGGAGGAGATCAGCAGAGACAGGGCAGGGAGCACGCAGATGACTCGGTTCTCCGCTTTGGGTTTTTGTTGTGTCTTTTGTGACAGGACTCGCTAAGCAGCTCAGGCTGGGCTTGACCCCACCACATGGTCCCACCTGGTCTCATACTTTCAGGAATCCCCCTGCCTCCATCTCCCAAGTGCTGGGAGCACAGCCATGCACCACCGCATCTGGCACTGGGCTCCTATTGTAAACATGATGGAAAGACATAGGAGTTTAGGCAGAGGTACGGCGTGGCGTGGCTGATGTACATTTTTTTTAAAGGGATCACCTTGGCTGCTCAGTTGGGAATGGATTGTAGGGAGTGAGGGCAAGACTAGGAGACAGCCAGGAGGGCAGTGATAGCAAGGGGTGACAAGCCCGGGGATGTAGCTCAATGGTACAAGAACCTGCCTGGAGAGTGAAAGGTCCTGAGTTCTATTCCTGGTATCAAAACAAAACAAGAGGCGACAGTTGAGTGGCAGAGGCAATGAGGTATGGTCGCACTGCAGTTATATGCTAGACATGGGGTGTGAGAAAGACAGGGGACAAGCAGGACTCTAAGGTGCCAACCTGAGCCTCTGGGAGAGGGGCTGGAACTATCACAGCAGAGACCATGATGACTTTGGGTAGAGCAGGCTTGAAGCAGGAGACCTGGTGTCAGTCGCTTTCCTTGTCCCTGGGACACAACATCTGACACCCACAAGTGAAATGGGGTTTATTTTAGCTCATGTGTTTGGCCCATAATCAGCAAAAGCACAGGCACACACCTGCAGTGCCAGCTGTTCAGGAGGCTGAGGCAGGAGGATCAGTCTGGGCCACTTAGCA